CCATCTGCCTCACTCCATTTAGCTCTGGCAATCCAATTCCCTTTCCTCCACCCGGAAATCGATGTTTAATTAACACATTATTGGAAAAATAAACAAAGTCTTCAATGGGACTGCAATGAAGCTAATGCAGCTCAGCTTGGGGGCTAAAGACCAGCCCCTCGGTCAGCAAAAGAACCTCCTCCTGTCCTCTGCCTCTCAGCCACGAAAAAGTTCCCTCTGTCTCCCTGGAGCCTTCCAGCCTGAGCAAGCCAACTTCTTCCTTTCAGCTCCTGTCTTCCCGTTCCCAGGCAGTGACTCCCATCTCTTCTTTGTTCTGTGATGCAGGGGGATGGAGGATAAATTTATTGCCACTACAAGTATTACTATTCCATGGAGAAAGAGGCAATTCCTGGACACCCCATTGGTGTAACTATGCACAATCCTATTTCCTTCTTCCTTCCAGTCCAGAAATAACAACCGCATCCAAGGTCAGCAGCTGTCTTATTCTGGCTGGGAGAGGGGAGGCAACCCAGGGGTAGCTGACCATGATGATGACCCCAAAGGTCTGTTCCACCCTCAGACCTCGGGAGGTGATCTCAAGACCTCCCTCAGAGTATTTCCTCTTGTAGTTCCCAGTATAAATGCTTCATCCTGTGCCCCCTCTTTTTCCTTGTTCAGTTAAGCTCTCTGGCTTCACACTCAAGATGTGCCATTTCTCACCAGTGATCCTAATCAGGCTACTTAACCCCATATCCACCAGCTTCCTCATCAAATGAGGATACTGTCCTTCTAAACAAAATAGCAGAGCATAACACTCTGCCATCAGCAGGTGCTGGATAACTGCCCCTTCAGTGGCATCCCGCACTAAGGGCCAGGCCCCCTTGTAAAGGACAGTGAGGCCCGCAAGGCCCAGGAGCACAAAGCAAAGCAGACCTAGATAGGTTTCAGGTTCTATACCTCATTCCCAGCCACCAGCATCCCAAACTACCTAAACTACGCCTCAGACAGCTACCCACAGTACAGACAAAGGTGACTACAACAGAAGACAAATTTCTAAAGGAGGCATCAGAGTCAACCCGTCAGCCTACTTCTGAGTCAGTGCACTGAGCAGTCTCAGAGTTGTGAGTCTGATCACCTGCTGAATGGACCACCTTTCAGAATCTGCTCCCAGAGCTGGAGAAGCAGAAGACAAGTTCACAGAGTGTGCGCAGTGGCTAAGACCAGAAGCTTGAAAGCCAGGCCTTTCACTTCCTACCGAAGTAACCTTGGACATGTTACTCCACCTCTTTTGGCCTCGGTTTTTGGTTTTGTTTTGTTTTTGTTTTTTTGTAAAGCAGATGAATAGGGTCAGGTATATAGATCAGCAGCAGCACAGTACCTGCCTGGGAAACCCGAAGTCTGAGTTCAATACCTGGTACCAAAAAAAAAGAATAACTACTTTCTTCATAGGGATTAAGTGAGATATGACAGATCGGGTGCTGGGCCTACTATCTGGAACCTAGTCAGGACTCAAATATTAGCTGGTAGCATTAACTACAGTAACAGTCATGTTGGTAGTAGAAACAGTTAGATGATCCAATTCTTATTCTTTCCTAAATAAGGGGCAAGTAGAAAGATCACTGGGGAAGGTTCTAATCCCTACCGTCTATCTTCTGAAATTGGATCTCTCTCTATTATGCCTCCTTCTTCTCTCTGTCCCATTAAGAGAAAGTGGGTATTGTCATCTCAAAGAAGGATGACTATATAGTTTATCATTCAAACCAGGGCACCGTTTGATGATTAATAATTATGCTAGGATACAGGCCTGAAAACGAATTGTCCATAAACCAGGGCATCTGGTTACACCACCCCAAGGTCACACAGAAATGGTTTCAAGTCCTGATTCAAGGTCCTGGCAAAAGGCAAGGCTTGCCTGGTTTGAAGACTCCGCTTTGCTCTGCCCCCTCCCTACACTCACAGCTTGGATGGAATGTCTAACCCTTCCCCATGCAAGGTCTGGCAGAAGGTCTGCACTCACATCATAGCATTATTCACTCCAGCCAGCCTCTGAAATAGAAACAAAACACACCAGGCATGGTGTCTGGCCCGTGCCTCCCCCGAGAAACAACGCTGAGCCACGGTGGAGGACATATCCCAGCTCCCAGGCAGCAGGGACCTAGACCCCAGCTTGCATCTCTCAATGGAAGGCCTGCTTCACCTGACTGCACCTGTGATGCCCAAGAGAACATGGGATCAAGAATCCTGACATTCCCCAACACACTGGAGTCCTGGCTTTCAACACCTTCAGAGAGTGACCTTGGCCATCTCTTAGTAGTCTGGTTACTCTGGGATGTACCCACCAGGACCCTTCTAGCCATAAAACCTGGAAGCATCTTCGTGTGGAATCCCTCCAGCTCTGTAGGAATTACATCTATCCTTCTCAGAGACACCTGCCAGCCCCACCCCACAAGGCTTCACTGCCTTCTGACCATGAAAGATGGAAACTAACAGAGAACCTTGGGCAGCCACTACAAGGGCACCCAGGGAAGCCTGGAGCCTAGCTTGTCTCTATATCATGAAGACCAACTTTAGACAAGTCATTCTTCCTCTCTGGGCCTCGGTTTCACCCTCTGCATTTGAGTGCGATGGCCTACATCCTTTTTATCTCTAACAGCTTAATATAAGGACTATTGGGTACAGGCTCTGTAATAAATCAGATCTGATTTCATGTCTAGTCTGTCATTTTATCAGGTTACTCTATCTACATCTCAGTCTTTCCCTCTGTCAACAAAGTAAGTAATAGTTATATACTACACTGAGTTGTTTGGGAAATTAAATGAGATAATACATGTTAATAAAAAGGCCTTGGTACTGTACATGGCAAGTACTCTTATCACTTCCATTTCTACTACCTTGAAGAAGTATAAGATGATAGATGATGATGATGATGACGATGACAAATACGATGACAGTTTCTAATACTGTAAGACTATGTGAGAAGCATAGTACTCGGAGCCAGGGATAAAGAAGACCTTGCTACTAACTCAGGAAATTTACCACTTTGCCATTCCTTGAGCAGATCTGGACTTGCAAGCAGAGCTAAGACAATCAGAAGCAAAGTTTGGCCTTCCCAGCAGACGGGCTCCAAGGTGCTACAGGAAAAGAAAACTCCAGTGCCAAATCCATGTGGTTCTTTCCTCCAGCCAGCAAACATTTATTAAGCACCTGCAATGTGCCAAGAAAGATCCTAGGCACCGGGAACACTGTCATGAATAAAAACAAAATCCTTGACCTCAGAGAGTCTGCATTCAAGAAGGGGAAATAGATAAGATCTGTCAATATATAATAAAATATGCAGTAGTGATTAGCCGATTAAAAAGACAGAATGATGGGTAGGAAAGAGATAGGGTGAGGGGACTGTTTTAGAAAGCAGGTCAGGAAAGTGTCATTTGGGGAACTGCGGGAAGAGGCCAGGCTAGGCCCCCTGAAGAGCTCCTCCACGTGCACGCACAGGTACCTGCGGCTGCCCCAGCCACATCGCTTCACACAGCCTTGTGCAGAGTGCCCGAGCTGGGTCACAGAGGTCAGAGCTGCTGTGCCACGCTTCTTTCCCAGGAGATGCATTCTGGGGGGACACTGGGTCTGACCAGAGCAGGAGCGGACGCACTTGGCTGGTACATTTCCAGGCAGCAAGCTGTGGAAGGGGCACTTCTTTTGTAAGTCTGCCATCCATATTCAAAGGGTCTTGTAAGGAAAACCTGGCTGGGGGATCGATCCCAAGAGCAAGCTCTTCTCTGGGCGTGGCACAACAACTCACCCCTGAGGTGTCCACCTCCCCCATTTCTCCCCTTTCTGTAGCAATGACGTAACCCTTTCTCCCTAACTCATCAAGGTCAGCCCCAGGAAGGGAGAGGAACGGCCAGAAAGGTGAGAGAATCAGCATTTTGCTCTGAGAGTTTTTTCTTTTTTTCTTCTAGGCAAAATGTTTTTCAATTTCACATATAATTGCTAATAAAGAAGGACACACCTCTATCTGAAGGAGAAAGGAAGATGGCGTCAGGTAGTTAAGGCAGCCAGAGCCCAGGAGAACACAGGGGCTTGGGCTGCTTTGGTGCCGAGGGTGAACTGGGCTTCAGGCTGCAGCCTCCAGCAAGGCCATGCTGCCCTAGAGGTGGCTGACACCACTGGGCCCACAGGGCCACCCTCCAGAGCTCAGCCTAGCTCTGAGGAGGTGGCAGGAAAAACCCTCAATTTCACCCACCTTGTCCCTTCTGCCCCTTCAGCCTGCATCCGCCCACCCGTCATCCCTAGGCTCACCCACCCACAGGCTGCTTGGTGGACATGGGGCTCTCACTCGAGGCTTCCTGCTGGAGACAGAGCAGCTTCCCCCTTTACACTCTTCTCAGCTACCTTGAGGACTTTATTCCCTTCTCTCCCCCACAGAACGCCCCTGCTTTCTGCCTTCCTTCCCTGTCACTAGCACACCTCTCTAGATCCATTCATACATCCATGTAACACACACAGCCACAGAGCCCAAAAAGGCAGGCAGGCTCCTGCCTGACCACACACGCAGGGTCGACAATCCCACCTCACCCCAAAGGAGGCACACTGCCGTTTAACCAAATACAAACACCCTTCTGGCCTCCACCCAAAAGGTAACACAAAGGCCACCAGGAATTTCAAGACTTAGTATCATCCACCGAGCAGAGGGCTGGGTAGGACAAAGACATCTCTCCATCCTCCCGACGAACCATGACAAGTCCCAGGGATATTCTGCAGTGCCCTCTGGTTTGCCACAGCCCACTGATCAGGGCTGTGTGTGTTGGTGTGTGTGAGAATGTGCGCCATGTGCATGGGGGAGGGGGCTGTGTCTACTCTCCAGGCATCAGACCTCCCCAGAGGTAACCCAGTCCAGACAGCCTTCCCCCTGTAACCTTCTCCAGTGTGCCGCGAACATAGATTTCATGGATGGTTAAATTGGATCATTATCACCGGGTGCTTATTTGGCCAAAATAAAAATCATTAGTGTCATCTACCCCCATTCCAATCCCCTCCTCATGAGGTCCCCTCCCCCAAAGACTCTCCAACATGCTAATCCTATGAACTGCGACACACCACAGCTTTTCGGGAAAGAATAATGGCGAGGAAAGAGGAGAGCGATTGCGGGGAGAAGATGAGGCTAGAGCATTACTGCAACCCCGTATGAAGACGAGGGAAAGGAACCATGGTGGATGGAGGTAGAGGTGGGGAAAGGGGGCCAGGGGCAAGAAATGAAAGCCTTGGTTGCCTGTGTGTGGGGGAGAGTGTGTGTGCAAGAGTGTGTGCCACTGCGTGTGTGGATGTGCCGACACAGCCCTCCTATCAGGAGGCTGCATCCGTGTGGCATGTAGGAAAGGCCATCGCACCACTGTTGTGTTGGAGAAAAAAAAAAAGAGCCGCAGAGCCATCAGAATCAGAATTTTCTCATCGAGATGGAAAGGGCTGGAGAAAGGGGGAGGGGTGTGTAGGGGAGGGGAGCAGTACATGGAAATACAAGGCAAGATCATGGCAGCACTGGGGGACGATGGAGGGGGAAATGGGTGGTGGGGTGGAAAGAATTGCACGCACACAGAGACACAAACACACACAATACCCCAACGCCAACACCACCGCTGCACAGTGCATCCAGGACTGACAACTGGTCCCCCATCCCTCCGCTGCCTCGCTGTGCCCCAAAGCTGGTGCCGATGAATTTCTGTATCTCAGTTTTGCAGCAGTGGGCTAATTACAACCAAGCCCCCTCACCAAATTAACCCCTCCCCTCTCTCTCTCTTTTTTTCCTCTAAAAGGCCAATTGAAGAATAATGTGTTTTTAGAGATAATGGATTTTTTTTTCAAGGAGCGAGAGGAAGGGGGGATGCAGGACAGAAATTCTGCAAACCGGTGACTTCCAATCTCACCTCCTTGTCCCCTCATGTCCCCATTCGCTGGAGCATCTCATCTACCATTCTCCAACCATTCCCTTGTCCCCCACCACCCAAAAGAAAAGACCTTCCTACCATGCACATCGACAAACACATCAACCACCACCCAATCTCAGTAGCCGATCTCAAAACCCCAAGCATCAATCCACCTCGATACATCCCTTCCCTTATATAAGCAGCAAATCATCAACATAGTCAGTAGAAACGCAGCAGTGAAAAGAAATTAACAAAACAGAGGCCAGACCCCCATCAAACCCCCCAAAATTAATAACAGGGAGCTACCAGAGAAGCAAAGACGTAGTTGTCTTTCAAAATCTAGAATCCCTTTGATTTCTGGCCCCTCTTCTTAAGAAGCAATTTTCTTAAATTATCATTTCACTAGGAAGGGCTGGAAAGCTCCAGAAAAGGGCATTCGCACAGTCCAGTTATTTAAAAAAAATATATTAATCCAGCCCTGTTGCTCACTTTAATAGCGAACTTCCATGTTCAGCCTTTTCCTGTCTTTCAGAAGGAAGACCGGCTCCTAGGACAAACCCAGGGCTGCAGAAAATGGGCCAAGACCCCTTACTCCACTCCCCAACAACAACAACAAACCAAACAATAGGACTATCTCTGCACAACCAGCACCCGTCTGAAATATCGTTTACCCCAATATGACTTAGGCAGATTAAGCCTGAAGATTAAAAAAAAAAAATACCAGCTCTGCTCATCTCTCTCCCTACCATCCTCCCGACACGTACCCAGCAGCCCTTAGGTAAACTTGCCCATCATAACCAGCGGGACCATTGTAACTTGAAAGGCGACGCAGAAGCTCTTGAAGGAGGAAGCAAAGCTCTACCCAGAACAGCAAATTCAGAAAGGGTTCTTCAGGCTCCCCAGACTAACCTCCAAGTGCCCCCAGATATATTATCCCAGGAACCAAGTCACCCAGTATGCTGGGAGTTCAAATTTCCATTAGAACCTTCATCACAAAGGCAAATGGTCATCTGACCCTGAATCTACACCATTGTCCAGGTGTGACAAGGAGTGTCGCTCCCCTCCCAGGACCACCTTCAGGACCCTGGGCAGTAAATAAATTAAGAATGTTGGGGTGGCTTATGGTAGCAAAAGAAACGCTATCTCTCCAAAGCGGGAATAACTGAGGAAGCGGGGACAAGGCTGCTCCCGTTCTGTCAGCCGTCTTATTTGGTCTGAGTGGACTTGCCCCATCCTAGGCTACCTCTCAATGATCTCTGACTTTTACATTTTAAAAATAAACAGATAAAAATAAAGACCAGGACAGAGGAAACCTACTTTGCCTAAACCCTAATAATGGTTCGCAAAAAAATACAATTTTCTAATTGCATGACGATACTTCTGCAATCAAATCAAAAGAGATAGGTATTTAATGGACGAAGGGAGAAATTTATTTTTTTAACAAGTAATCACAGGGTAAGTCACCTGCAAAGCAGCCGAGCCCATAGGTTGGTATTACATCACTGGCCTAGGAAGAGATGGGGGTGGGGGGATAGATTATTTTTCCCTTGTCATCAGGATGCTGTTCCCAAAGCAGTTAAGTTTTGTGGTTAAAAAAGCAAGAGGGAAAGAGCTGAAACTCTGGGTATAGCACAATGCCTTGAAAAAACAATACATCGAACCAGGCTTTAAGGTCACTGAGAGCTTGCAAAAGCCACAGTGCTTACACAGAGTGGAAGTTTTCAGGCAAGCCTGCTACTAAATCATTAATATAAACAAATGGAAGGCAGAGGAGGAAGATTCCCTTGTAACGGATCCAAACAGGAGCGCACACGCACGCACACACACACACACACACTCACGCACACACTCCCTTTTCACCTTCTCGGAGTATGCCCACCTTACAGGAGTCCAACCTAAATGTTTAGAGCCAAGAACAATCTCCTCACACCCCCTCCAAAAATGAAATAAAATAAAATCTCACACACACTCGCTCACATCACTTACTCAACAACTAGGGAAACCCCAATCCCAGTTTTGTCTTCTTGTGATCCTTTCTCTTTCTAACCACCCCCCAAGGAAGAGAGAGAGAGAGAGAGAGAGAGAGAGAGAGAGAGAGAGAGATCAAAATGTCAAAAAAGTACCTCCCAAGATGAAGTGATGGGCACGCATCATTTTAGACTAACAATCCAAGTCAACAGAAGAAAGACAAAAAAGAAAATAATAAATCCATAACATGTTCTGACTTTTCCAACAACTGGAGCAAAAGGACCCAACTTTTGGAAGAAACTGAAGGAGAAGCAAAGCAGGAGGAAAACCATTCCCGTGGTCAGCCCGGGCTCTTGGACCCAGAATTAAAAAAGAAAAAAAATCTAGGTTGGTCGCTCCCAACTGAAAACTTCTACCCTCTCAGGAACAGCCTCTTCCCAGAACACAGGAGAGCCTTGAGTTGTTTCGCATCCTTCCTGCCTTCCTCCCCAGCCCTCCCAAATCTTACCTTCCCCGTTGAATAGAAGAGTTGGAATCTGTTTGTTTGATGTTTAATCAACTGACTTTGCAGGGTGTTTCCTTTCTGGAAAGGTTCAAATTCCAGAATCTTTCTCTCTCCTTTTCTTTTTCTCTTTCTCACTGGGAGGCAGTGGTGGGGAAGATGGGAGGGTGTCGGAGGTGCGAGAGCAGGTCCCCGGTGGCTGGAGATGCCAGCGGCTGCTGCGAGAGGGGAGGACACGCTGTCTCTCCCTCTCAGTGAGTTGCATGCGAGAGATGTGTAGGGCTGAGCTCTAAGCCTGAGACTGCCGGAGGAGCCCAGGAATTTCACGCACTCCAGAGTTGGCCCCTCCCTCTCCCACACAGACCCCGGCATTTAAAGAGACAGCCAGGCTGCCTGGCTCAGGGCTTCACCTCTTCTCTGGCTGTTTTGCAAACAGCTGAGAAGACATAATCAAGGAGGGGCACCCCGCAGCCCCCTATAACTAAGAGGAGACGAAGCTCAGTTTTCCCCTCACTGGAGTCCAAGGGGAGAGCTGTTCCCTAGAGTTGGAACAGGAATTCAAATGAAGACAAAATCCTCACTGACTGCTCCAGCATATTAAACCACCACTCTCCTGCTGAGGGTGCAGCAGCCTCACTGAAACTGAGGGGATCAGAAGAATGGTGACCTACAAGCGTGCCTCAGTTTCCCTGAATTGTTGCTTCCCTGTGCAAAATCAGGGCAAGCCTTGAGCATGTGGCGGAGGTCAGCATTGTAAGTAGGACACTAATTCACTCGTTTAACAAGCACTTTGAATGCTGTCTGAGAATGAGGCACAAGCAAGGGGCTGAGGACATAGAAAGTGACAAATAGGCTGCCCTTCCCAGGGTCTCCAGCAGCGGAGACAGACCCAGGGAAAATCAAGGCTACCCCAAGAGGACTACAAGCTAAAATAGACAGAGGCAGGGCTCAAGTACCTGCTGGATCAGGAGGATGGCTCACCTTTGTGGCTCAAACCAGAGCTCAGGGCCTTGGCATTTCCTCTGTTTTCCCAAACCCTTGAAAAATCTATTGCCAGCCTTGATGAACTAGTCCATGTGTCGGGAAGCCTTTCTGCAGCCAAACCTAAACCAGAGAGAGAGTCAGAGGCACCAAACAGAAAGGTTCTGTTCAGCATCAGGCCCTGCTGCCCACTGTGGGAGAAGAGCCCCAAGTCCCTTCCATTCTTCCCCTGCCTCCCCTTTCTATGGCCTGAACTGATGCATCCTTCCTCCCGCGGGTCAGCACCAATGGCAGGAACAGCCCCTGAAAGCTATCAAGTTCTTACTAGAGTCAACATGTGAGTCACCTCATTCATCAAGGTTGAATAGCATCACTGAGGTTGGTGCTACTTGAGGTCCATTTTACAGCTGAGTAATAGAAACAATAGAAAGATTCTCCAAGGTCACAGAATTGGAGATTTCTGAGAACAACTTGGAACTCGGGTCTACCCAACACTGAAGCCTACCTGCTGGGCTAGTGCTAAGTTGCCTTCTGTACCCTTCTGCTCCTTATCAGACATTCTCCCAGCATCCCTAACACCATCCCAACCCAGCAAACTTTAATGGTGCATGCCCTATGCATTGTGTTCACGAGACACAGGTGAATCTATCGAAGTCCTTGCATCAAAGAGTTCACTACCCTATGGGTGATGACAAAGTCTGTTCCCATAAAGTAAGGTAATGTGACAGTCAAGAGGGCAATATAAAGAAGTGATTATTTTGTTACAGAAGTAGGGTATATTAAGGCAAACTTGCTGCAATCATGGCAATGTGGGCTGGGCCTGAATGGACACAGACAAGTCCCACATTACTAATGTACTTTTTAGTCTGTTTTACCTTTCAGATCATACTCTCAGTTTCTTATTTTTTCCCCAATCTTCAATACCTCTGTGGACTCAGCATCCACAGGAATATAAACAAATATACCGAGTGGATTAATTTCATAAATGGCATCCGATTTCCCATATGTTAGACCTGAATTGCCCCAGCGCCACATCTAGATCCTCCTAACCTCACCCACCCTTCTTGAAGTCTGGGCATCTTTTTATTCTCAGGATGTGAGAGAGCATCCCAGAAAGCACAGGGGAACATCCAGGGCAACTGTAAATTCACCTTTGGAATCATCAGTAAGAGACCCAAATGACCCAAGGGAGCCAGGGCTCTGCAGATGTCAGCTCCTGTGAGAATCCTCTGGCAAACACCAGCCTGGCCAGGACATCCCAGCAACCAGTCTGCTTCATGACCGAAGGCAGCCCCAAGATTGAGACATGCCTGGGTTCCAGTCCCAGCTGGGCCACCTAAATTCCATGTGATCTGCATAATTTTCATTACCCTCTCCAAGCTTCAGCGTCCTCATCCATAAAATGGATCTATATTCCTTCATAGGAGAGCAGTGAGAATTAGGTGACATACATGCAGAACCTACCCCACAGAACTTAACCAGTGTTCCATATCTTAGCCCAAGTTCCGCATTTGCCCCTGCACTGGATTACTAACTGTGGACTGCCCCCTATAGTTAGCATTCCTTTATTTCAGGCTCATGACATCACTTTGAATATTTTAATTCACTACAGTGTCAATGTAGCTACTATCATTTACTTGTTTTTAGCCCATTTGCTTTCTGTCCTATTTTACCTTGTGATTTTGAATATAATTGCTATTATTTTATTTCATCTGGTAGTTGCTCAGCCTTCTTAAGCGCTACTTACCTTTCAATGATTCTGGTGTATCTTTTTAGTCTGCCTTTTATCATAAAATCTCTAGGCTCATTTTCCCTGATTCCTCCATATTATTCTAACTAAATACCACTCTGCTCATTCTAGTGATCCAGCATTCCCCCAGATGGCTAAAAATTTACAAGAATGGATATGTACAAAATAGCACAGAAAGACAACATCAAAGAGAATGGGCTGGGTCTCTTTGCAGACATGTAAGCAAAAACTGATATCAGGTGTTTACCCACATGATGGTGTCACATTAGTCATGACACTGTTTTTTTAAAGGCTAATATGGAGGCAAATAATATATCCTCAGAGACCCTGGACCTTCTCTGTTGTCATTTCTGTCCTAGACTGTGGAGGCCTTGGTCAAAACAGCATTAGGCTATGTGACTGCCACTCTCACTCAGTTCCTGGGTGGAGCAGAACAGGCAGGGACCCCTTCAGACTTTTCCAATGCACAAGGCCAGTGTTTTCAGCAAGTAACAACAACCCAAAAAATCATTACCTGTCAAAGGATGAGTTGTTCATAATATTCTGGGAAAACAGTATTATAATGGTATTCACAACAATAATAAGAACATTTACCACCTACCACAAGTCACCCTTGCTGGCCCTCTACTTAGAAACATCATGGTTAAGATGCCGAGCTCAATAAACAGGATATCTTGATTCTAATTTCAGCTCTACAATTTGCAGGTTGTGAGACCTTGGCCAAGTTATTAACATCTCAATCCTCAGTTTACTCATGTGAAATGGGAACAATCGTGATACTTCAAACACTGCCTGTAAAAAGTATATCAGAAGCAACTACAAGCTGAGTGGAGATGTAGCTCGGCAGTGTAGTGCTCGCCTATCATGCACAAGATCCTGTGTTCATTCCCCCGCCCCAGAGAAAAGCACCTACAATAGCAAATGTCATATGGAAAGTATACAATAAAGAGTTTAATTGTTAATACCAGAGTGGAATTTAAAATCGTTAACATCTGAGGTGACCCAACAGTAACTGATCAGACTGGAAGCAAGTCACAAGCAACTGGTTTAGCCCCTCCCAAGGCATAGCAGCTATTAGGCTTGATCACTAGCATTATTACTGTGTGAGACTTTGGCATGCACTGATGCATTATCCCACTTAATTCCTCACAGCAAGTTGGTTTTATTAAGTTATTTACTGAAATACATGCAACTGCACATTTATAAACAAGACTGCCTATAAAATCAAGGTGCCAGATAAATAGACTTGACATAACCATTCCTGTCACTCTAATAACTCTGGGTATGTGAATTTTAGGGGTTGGTTTTTCTGGGAGATTGTTAGTTTCATTAGACAGCTTCTTTCTTTTACTTCCTGATTCTTCCAATCATCTTTGGAAGACAATGATGATGGTCAGTCCCCTCAGTTTCTCCATTCATTAAATGGGTGTTTATTTCCGGGTTTCCACACCTCCACCTCATTCAACCCCAGGAATATCAAAATTTCTAAATCGGCAAGTCACTAGAAACTGGGAATTGGACAGTTCTGCTAAGTTCTCAGC